ACACACACACACACACACACACACACACACACACCCTATCATTTCATTCCATAACACAGAAATTTTAATTTTACTGTCACTGATACCAAAATTAGTACATTGTATAGTTGATATAGTGAATGATTGTTATTTAATGAAGCAATTTTTTTTTTGAATTTATTGAATTATTTTCGATTAATTTTTGATTCTTTTCTATTAACAAATATTATAAAAAAAATTTAATTCAAAAAAATTTTAGAGACTTAAAAAGTAATTTCGCACTTTTTTTGAAGACTGTTCTATCTTCTACTTTAATTTCTTTCAAAAAAAAAAATCTTAGAATGAAAGAAATCAATATAGTCGAATATTGATTGATCAGTTATTTCTTCATTCCTTTCATGCAGTCATCTTTTTAATTTTTTTTTATTGTCCAGTAATTTTACGAAGAATAGAAGCTTATATCTATCAAAAAATTTCATCTCTTAAAATTTTCTTCTGAATGGTCAAATTTTAGTTATTTGATAAATAAAAAAGAAAAAACGTGAAAGTTAATTAGTGTTAGAAATTTGATCAAGATTAGAAGTAACAAATAAACGAATTTGTTCGCTCTCAATTTTTGAAATTTTCCATTAAAATAGCCATTGATCATTATGTTAACCCAGCAAATGATCCGATTTTACTCTTTACTTAATTGACAGCTAATTTGTAACATTTCATATTGAAGAATAAATATCCCTCAGTAAAACTATTTTGGTAAAAATTCATCATTAGTTTTACCAACAAAATGCCTCATGCATGTTTAAGATATTTGTTAAAATTTAAATTCACAAAACAAGCTAAACAGATAAGTTAAACAATACATTATCTTTGCAATAACAAAAAAGAATTTTTTTTCGTATCATAAGTTATAAATATTTTTGAATCAAATATTAAAATGAAAGAAAATCAGTTTATCATTTCTATCTAACCTATCTCTTTTCTTTGAATACCAATTTTTCTCATCAATTGTTCCTAAACTTCCGCACTTCTTTTTCCCACTCAATTCTCATTGTATTAATGATTTTCTAAAATAATCAAATTATTATTTACTGTAAAATCTTCAATCGTTAAATCGTTAAGAAAAAAGTGTTAACCAAAGGCCCTTTTTTTTCTTAGCACTTCAAATATGGCTAATTATTGAAAAAAAAAAGTTCGCTCAAATTAATTCTTATAATTTAGTGATAATGCGTTGAATTTCAACAAATTATTTTATTTATTGCTATCAAATTAATTGAAATGACAATTTAAAAAAATAAAATTAATGAATGAAATATGCGTTAAAATATTTGTTCAATTATTTTTTGATTATTAAATGGTTTGTTCTGTTTTTTTTTTTCGATTTTATTATAATGAAGCATTTCATTGGTTTCTTATTGTTAGCCATCAATCACATCAATGATCTTACTTATATTGCCATCGTTTTTATTTCCTTTAAAATTTGTGTTTGTAATGATTTGACAATATTTCATCTTCCACCAAACATATTTTCCATTGTCAAATTTTAAAATTCACTATCACTGCTGAAAAATTTTCATATTAATATTTTTATTTTGTTGATAAGAGAAAAAAATTTCATCGATTGTCACGTATAATGTATTCATTCTTCAATCAGTAAGTTATTGAAGTTATAAAAATATTTTTTAATATTTTTTTCAGTTTTTTAATTTGGACCTGAGCTATTACGTGTATAATTTTGTAAATTGAAATAATTCAGAAATCTGTTTTTTTTGAACTTCAAATAGGTGAAGCATTTATGGAAGAGCTTTTATAATGAAATGAAAAACATTTCTGTTTAATAGCGATTTCCAATTTCTTTTGAAAGAAAGTCTGAAAAAGTGTTATGTTTTCCGTGAGATTGAGATAAATTCATGATAAAATATACATTAGACTTTAAAAGTGTAACAAATTTGTTGAAACAGTATCGATTTATTAGTATGTTAGATTTGCGATGAAAGAAAAATTACTTTTTAAACCAATTATTAAATTATAATTTTTTACGAAAATTATTTTGAAATAACTTATTTTTATTTTGTTTGCTTGTTCTGTCAGTTTTACTTTCATCTTTTATGTTCTATAAGTCTTTTCCTCTCTGACCTTATACGATGATGCTATTTTTATTTTAACCCTAAGCAACTTCACGTGCAGTAAATATTACTGAAGTTATAAGCCACTGCTATCTTTGAGCAGTAATCAAGTTTTCATGACACAGAAATTCTCGAATCAATCAATCGACCATACTTCTTAAAACATAACAATTTGATCACTTCTATATTTCCTGAAATTTTCAAGTGAATATATCATTAATTTAACTCATTTCCTTAGCAAACACGTTGTGAATCGATCGATTTTTGTCTTTGAAATTAGTAACAATTCAAAATTTTTTTTATAAATCTTGAAACAGATGAGAAAGATAGTATGGATTATGTTTTTTTAATGAAAGAAGAAATTAATTAGTGAATGCTTCTTGAGAATACAGTTTGTTAATTGTATGAATTAAACAATGAATTACTATGATATTTGAAAGATTTGATATAATTTCAAATATTGTAAAATATCTTAATAAAGTATTAAATCGTAAGCATTTCTAAGTGCAAAGAAATAAAACCTATTTAAGAAATTTAATTTCTTAGTAGAAAATGAAGCAGAAACAAACCGAATGAGTCGATCTAATAACGCATTTAAACCAATACAAATAACCGAATTTGTTGTTACACTTGCAAAACTTGTTTTATAAAACAATCTAATAAAAAAGACAATGAACCATATAGCATTCAATTGCTCGCCTCCTTCTATGTGAAATCAATTTTCAATATGAATTGATGTCATTTAATAAGTAACGTGAAATTAATAGATATTTATTAGCAATTTATGTAGCCATCATCTATCACATACTACACGTTTTTGTTTACTACTACCATTCTTATTATCATTATTGCTGCAGTTTTTATAAATTGTTACAAAAAAAAAAGACAAATATCACTGTTTAGTTAATCTTTAATGTATTGTGGGAAAAAAAAGTTTCTTAAACTTAAAAATATCAAATGCTATATTTTAATGTTTTAGAATGATTAAAGTAAAATTACAAATTACTTTTGTACAGTTATAAATTGATTTGTCTCTCTCTCTCTCTCTGTCAGCATCATTTGTGGAATATGAATAAGTTAATTTGAACTTATTCATTTTTTTTTCTTAATTTAAAAGAATGCAAAAATTTGAAAATATCAGAAATTTTATTCTTTCTTTACAGTTTACAAGAATGCGAAAAAATTTTGAAAGAAAAAGATCTGATAATTTCTAATTTTAGATATTCTTTTATCATATTTGCATTGAAACAAATATGAAATGATCCAAACAACTATCGCCTGAATTGCATTGAGTTCTTCAAAATGCTTCTGAAAATTTTTATGAAATATTTGCAAATTTAACTAGCATTATTGAATAAATGTTTTTGTTACAAAAGAGTTAATACTGGAAAAATAAATTTATCAGTCAGTTTTGTTAGGACGACAATATCAGTCACGAGGACAATTATCAATGCTCATATTTGAACTTTAATTTCTGATTTTTATGCTTTTATTTTCAATACACGGAAACATTAAGGAGTTTTTTAGAATGAGAATAAAACAATATTTGATATAGTTTTAATTAGTTTTAAAAAAATAAAAGAAATGAATAAATGTTCTTTCAATTATTTTATCACTAAAAACCAAATGGCTACTTGCGATACTCGTTTGCCGTACTTAATTAATTATATTTACCACTTCATCAAAATTTTTATTTCTTCAATTTAAAAAAAAAAGAGTATCTTATCATTTTGCGACATCAAAAAATTTCCATTGGTCTATTTTTTTGCTCACTATCATTTCATTTAATCAATCTTTATGTAATTTTGAAGTGTAAAAAAGAGAAAAAAAAACGAAAAGTATTTTCTGTCATCAAAAACGGGATAAAACTTTTTTTTTTTTATTCAAAAATATATTTCCAATCATCATTAATCAATACTGTTAGATAAGACATTGTTTGTTAAAACATTTCACTAACAGTGATTTTTTCTTTAAGAAGTATTTTTCTTTTTCCTGTCTGCAAATTCAATTTTTATTTGAATTGAGTATTTTTGAATTTCTTTTGAGATTATTTTTTGGTCTATATAATATACATGTTGTTTAAAAATTGGAATTCAACAATTATTAATTCTCATTTTAAACTAATTATAATTATAGTAATAATAATTTAAAGTCATTTCATCCTTTCCCAATCGAGTTTTTTTTTTTTGAAAAAACCTGCATGTAATCTCATTTGAAGATTTCAGTCAAATGATCCATTTTAAATGACAAATTCAAAATTGATTCTGCAAATGACTAGAATAGGCGGATGAAAATAATTTATTTTCCAATAATTATTTCAATTATTTACTATTTTCAAGGAACTTGCTGTCATTTACATCTAATCCGGAAAGATAAAAACCACCTGTAAGTATGTAATTCAAAAAACATCGGACAGCGTACTAATAAATTTTTAAGCTTTCATTACAGCAAAAAATTTACAATAATAATTTTCATTACAGGTCCTCATCCGATGAATTTCTTCAGCAATTCAACATCACGTCTTATTGTTCCGCGTAGGAAACGTTCCGGTATACAATCAGTTCAACCGGATACATTTTTAACCACCTGTAAGTATGCCAGTGCTGAAGGACGCTTCTCAATCATTGATAAAAGGTATGGCAGAATTTTGTTTATTTGTGTAATCAATCGTGAGAATGATGAATGTCAATAGTAAAGGTCAAGAAAGAATGAAATAGATGAAAGCTTATGTTCGTTAGAGATTCTCATAATATTGAAAACAATTTAATGAACTCGAAAAAAAATTAATGCTTTCAAAAATTTGAAAAAAAATTTCCTCTAACTAGATAATTGATTTTCCATTTAAAATTCAATATTTTGATGCTATAATTTGATTCCTACCGATATGACTGTCAGGCCTAAAATGGCCATTATCAAAATGATTTATTAAATTGTATTTCACATTTTAGGCATAAGGAATCAGCGAATATGGAATCAACCGATTCATCGTCTGATGACGAAATGGATTTTACGAATAAAAGTAGGCAAAGCGAACTTTTATTTAATTTTTCATTTCATCGTTATTTAATTTGTTTTACTAATTCCATTTCCTTTTTTTCCTTGATGCTATAGTAATATTTTGAAGTTTACTTTCGTTGATATCTGTAAATTAGGCTGAAATATAGGTAATAAAGCAATTGGAATGATGAGTGATTAAGATAGCTTCAGTATTTTAAATTCATATTTGCACCAAAATTTAAGCATAGTTTTGGTTACTATTCAATTTTTTATCACTATGATAAAAATCAGCTTTATATCAAGCCAGATTTTGCATATTTTTGTTAAAATGTCAGTGGCATAAATTTGTTAATGAAATGTGAATAATCAAACGTTAACTAAACAAAAGTTAACCTATTTTTGTCCCGAATTGTGGAATTTTTGCTTTTCAAATTTTTTCGAATAAAACTTTGCCCAAATACTTTTCTGCAGAAATTTTTAAGATGAAAAAATTTCATAAATTACAATATTAATAATTTGTAGTGCATGTAAAATTTTTCTTATCGATCTATCAGCAAATACTTTTAATTATAAGAAGTATAATCTTTTTTTTTTCCTGTAGAAACAGTATTTACTGGAATGAAATACGATCATCATGTTTTATTTCAATCATCAACAGCAAACAGCACGACATCATCGCAGCAGCAATCACAGTTGGGACTTAAGAAGAGTAAACAGATGAATGGATCACGATTTAGAGTAAGTTTCTTGTTATTAATGAAAAAAAAAAACTATAACTGAATAGTTCATTTAAGGTAATTGTAGAGATCAGGCTCGATATTTTAGTTTGACCTCAATTCTATCTATTCAATTTAAATATTATAATCTTCATAGGCATAAACGTATGCAACTATTTACTGGATAGAATGATATAATAATTCTTCTTGCAACAAATGATATTAAGAAAATATGAAATAATTGGAATAGACTATTAGAATATATCAGTAAAGAAATTTCATCGATCATAAGTAATTTCACAGTTTTTCTTAACCAAAAAATGCGCACCAAAAAAGAAATCCACTGATTTGTATAGATATCAAAAAAAAAATACAAAATCTGAATTACACTTAAAAGTTTTGGATAACTTTTATTACTATTATCTGATAATGCATTGAACAAAATCAATGTTATTTTGCTGAAAAATTTAATTTTTATCAATTGGAAAAAATCGATTCACATTCGAGAAAGAATCTGTTGAATCCAAAATTTCAATCTCATCAATGACCGTTTCTTCACTGAGCGCTTCAAATTTATTTTAAAAACAAAATCAGATGAAATGATGATTTTGAAAGTAACGCCAATATTCTGTATCGAAATGATAACAAAGAGGAATTGTGAAGTTAAACTTTAACCGTTTGT